TAATTGTAGATCATCCTTTTTCTACACGATGAGTGTCTGAGTACACTAAACACTTCCATAGCCACAGTTTCATGAGCAGGTACCCAAAAGTAAAATAGGGGACTGAACACGTAGAGAAAGTGTTCTGATGTTTGGGGGCGCTACACACCCTTTTGTCATTGCCATAGAAATTAGAGACTGTGTCCTCAGAAATGTGCATGTGTATTTATGTGCCCAGTTTTATATGATTTTAGGGAACCACCTGGGAAGTGAGTAAAATCCCTACTCTGGAATGAGCACTAAACTTTGAACGAAGCAGAACAGAACCTTCAAGCAGAAGCTTTGAAAGCCACTCAATAGGTTCAAACCTCAGCTCTAACCTTTATTAATTGTATAGTTAGGAAAAGTTACTCATGGCTGTGTGCCTCAATTAATTTATCAGTATAGTAGGAATAATCCTATCTCCCAGGGTTTATGAGGGTTCGATTGACACAAATAAAACTTTTAGAACAGTGCTTGGAACACAAGAGCTCATGTTAGCTAATATTTCTGTTGTCATCAGCCTCAGCCTCCTGCTCAAACTCTGTCTGCCAGAGGAGGAGGTGAGGTTTTATTTTCTTTTTCCTCTAGGCTTTCTGGCTTCTCGGTCTCCCTGCAGCAGAGTGGTGAAATGTCCAAAGTGTAGGTAATGAGAGAATCACAGTGCTTATACATTACATACAGGAAAATCTACATAATGGAGTACTTTTACTTAGAGTAATTTGGTATTTTATCCCTTCAGGTTCATTTATTTTTCTCTCTTTTTATTCCAACAATACCTGAAAATGGGTGAAAGTAGGAATTAGCCTGTTTACTTATTACAATAAAGAGGATAAATTGAAATGGAGGTGTCAAAATGGTTTGAAAATTGTTAGCTAAGATGTCAGGCTTATGTCAAAAAGCAGGTTGTTAGGGAATAATTTACATTTGAAAAGAAAAAGGGATATTTGCAAAAGGAATCCCTTGGGAGCATAAACAGCCCTTCCAAGTAGGAGACAAGCTGAGGAATTTATTTTCCACTGCAGCCAGAATTGCAAGAGTTGCTTCCTCCCCAATACCACTGTTCCCATGGGGCTTTGTATTATTGCCAGTCCATAGTTTCTAGCAAAAACACGTTTTAACTCCAACTCTGACCTCCCGTCCACTGCCTCCTTCTTTAGTGTCCTTTAGTGTCCCAAAGAGCCTGATGGTTACCCATGAAACAGCCCAATACACTACGATTGGCAATTTTTTAAAGGAACTAAACTAGAGCTCACAATTGGGAACCTCAAGCTCTAACAAAAAGGCTTGTTTGAGGAAAGAAAAAGGTAAAATCCTCCTGGAAGTAGGTATGTTTCCCCCGTGACTTGGTTTCCCCTTGTCTTCTAAGGTCAACTTCAGGTGTACCCGGCACACACCAGAATGCAACAGCTTCCAAGTTGCGGCTATTATGTCATTAGCTATCCCTAAAACAACCTTCTTTTTTGTGGTTTAGCAAATAGTTGTCACCTCAGTTTGGCCACAGTAGCTGAGAAGTGTAATAACTTGTCTGAGTCTCTCCCATAAGAAAACCAGGGAAGTATACATCCGAAATCACACGAATTTGAACCCTCAGAGTTGGACCCAGCCGTGGAGAGCAGGACTTGGCATCCAAATTCCTTTCCTCACCATGCAGCGCACAGGCTCTGCCGTTGCTAGGATACCTTATCAACTGTGCCCCCTCAGATTTTAACCATTTTCATGCTCTGCTTTTTACCCAGAAGATCTGGGCTCCTCCCAGAGGCCTCTCTATTAAACAGGTGCTGTTAAGCCTACTGTGCTAAGTACTCTGGGTTTGCTGCAGCCCAGAACGAGGAGAAAGCTCCCTTTGTCATGTTGCAGGCGGGTTAGGAAGGTGGGAAGGAAAGGGAGAATTGTGAAAAGGAAATCTCCAGTGATGGAGAGATGACGGTGTCAGGTGCACCGCAACGGCACAGTGCCGGCCGGGGCTCCTGGCTGAGTGGAGCCGTGTCACAGACTCTGGCCTGGGGCAGGCGCACGTGTTTCAGCGTGCGAGCACTGAGCTTCCTGTCCCTGCTGGGAAAGAATTGGAAGCGACCCAGCAGTGGATCTGGCGGCCTCCCCTGGCGAGCCTCGTCCATCCCAGCCTCACAGAGCGCCCTGTGCTGAGCTTTTTATAGCCCTCACCGCAATCTGCTCCTGAATCCGAGCTAATGGTGTCTATTTCTCCCTTATTTAGAGCTCCTGAGATGGAACCTTGCTTTTTTGTGTATCTTTTCTTGAGTGTCCTAGTGCCTAGCAGCAGGTCTGGGACTGGTTGGTTGGAGGTCCAGTCCATGTTGTTCAAAGTTGATTAATTGTGAAGGATTATTTCCAGGTGGATTTCATGCCTCTGCTTACCTGTTTAGTTCTCCTGCCCCTGCCAAACAGTGACCACTGTTCTTGTGGACTTACACATATTTCTCAGTAAATGATTCTCAAGTCAATAGATATTTAATAATGTGAATGTATTGAACCGCATTCTAATAATCCAGGTCATTTGCAGGTTCCCAGTAAATCTTGAATGAATGGATACTTAAACATGATGTACATCTCTTAAGCTGTATTTAAAAGCAATATCATCTTCAGATGTTTTTAAATGGTATAAAATGGTATAAAATATTATCTAATATTTTTACCAGGAGTAAATTTATTCCTTTTATAATCATAGATAAGGTAGCAGCTAAAATTTTTAATCTGCACTAAGATTCACTACTTAGATTTACTTTATAAAATACTCTGGGTTGTTAATTTATTTGGAAGTAGGACTTGAGGTGTCCTATGCCAACTATACATGTATTAGACTGGTGCTTTAATTATCGTTATTCTAGTAACACATTTTCTAACCTGAATTAAAAGTTATGTTTTTAGCTTTCAGTGACTTGTGCAATTTGAGTTTTGGATATTATCTAGATACTTAAGCAAAATAGATGTGATTGTTGGTCTCTGGTCTTTATCATCTGGAGCTCATACTGTTCTCATTTGAACATTAGTGTGTTCACTAAGTAAATATGTGGAACATTTTGTGTGTGTGCATGAGAGAAAGAGAGAGAGGGAGAGAGAGAGAGAGGGAGAGGGAGACGGAGACGGAGAGGGAGAGAGAGAGGTTGAAATTCCTCGGGGCAGATGTATGAGCTGTTTGTGTCCCAAACCTTCCTAGCACGTGGCTGATAGTTGCCAAAGGGTGGCGGTGTAGGTTAGTTATTATGTAGATCAACACTTGGTAGAGAATAGAAAGCAGCGTGCTGACCGGACAGCGGGAACCTGGGGGGTCCGTGACATCTCCTCTCCTCAGTGTGAACAGATTCCGAGTGGCGAGGGAAGGGTCGTCAAGCATGAGCTGGAACTCGGGAAAGAAGTTTTAGATCCTGCGCCCAAGATGAGGTCTGAGCGGAGTTTCTTCAACCCGCCCCGGGAGAGAAGCTTCAGCGCCAGCGTGCGGCAGGCTTGGGTGTGAAGAGCTGTCTTTGGGCCGGGTCGAGCCGCCTCTTGCCTGTAAAACAAGGTGTGCAGGCCAGAGTGAGTGGAGTAGGACGAGTCCGGGTCCCACGTCCAGGGCGCAGCCTGCGGAGAGAAGGACGGATGGGGAGGTGTCCCACGCCGCTGTCTTCACCGTCCCCCCGCGCTCCCTCACTCAGTCCCGAGTGCCCACCTCCGAAATCTGCTATTTCCCTTCCTTACCGTTCCTTCCCGCCCCGTCCTCTATCCAGCGACGGCTGACATGCTCCTGCTTCTGCCCTCCCTCCGGCCGGGATCCTGACTCGCACTCTGCTGTCCTGTTGGTCACCTGCTGTCCCCAGGCCTGCGTCGCATCCTCCCCGCCCGCCCGCACACTCTGGCCCGGAAACTTTCCAGGCCTGCCTCGGACGCGCTTCTCCCTTCCTGCTCCGGGTGGGGAAGCCTGCCCTGGCTCTCAGCCTTCCCAGCCTCTTCCGTGTCCTGGGCCTCCCTTCGGGGCGCTCAGCTCTGCCGCATCTCCGGGCACAGCTCCCGTGGGTCCCACTCAGCACTGCTGTCCTGCCGAGCCTTCCTCTGCGATGCCAGGGCCTCAGCCACCCTCACCACAAGCCCCACGCCCTGCCCGGAACACCTTCTCCCCACCTTGTTCTTGGGACAGCTGCTTCTCCAGAGCGCTCCTGACTTCTCCTCGGGACCCGGAGCCCTTGCTGTGCGCCCTGAAGCGCTGGTACTGGCCCAGCTGTGCCGCTTATAAAGTCGAATTTCAATCACTTGCTGAGTCCGCCTTTTCCTGCAGTGGGCTGAGCTCTGTGGGCAGCTTGCTTACATTTATCCCCACATCCTGCACGGAGCCTGACATAGTTGGTATTTGCTGACCCCTACAGCCACCTGAGGTGCGTGTCCCAGTGTCCAGCACAGGCAGGTGATGGGTAATAGTGTCTTTCATGGCTTCCCGTTGTGCAACAGCTGTACCTCTTACTGTGTAAATAGCTGATAATGTCTCGTACACACATGGGCCAGGTTACAGACAGAGAAATGAACATTGGGCGTGATGAATCAGAAAGCTACAGCTGTTGTTTACTAATGAACTCGAAGTAGTGGTGAGTGCAGAATCGGTTGACAGTAGTTTAAAGAGTGACTAAAAGGAGAGGAAGCAGTGGCCAAGCAGCTGGTAGAAATGATGACTGGGCGGGAAAACACATCAGTGGCGTGGCACGGAGGTAGGCGGTGGGGTCAGCGGAAGAGAAGGCTTCAGAAGATGAGGGCCGCTGGGTACATTCACGGGTGGAGGGAGAGAGCTCAGGGTGGAGACTGGGGGATACAGTCAGGTCCGCCTCACGCAGGGCTGGTTCCCACCTGGGGGAGGATGGGTTCTCGAAAAGTGGAAGAGAAAGGTTGGCGAGTGGGTGGTGTGGGCAGGGTTAGGGTAGTGAGGTTGATGCAAGCGTGTCTAATGTCACGGGCAGAAGTATCTTTTGAGCAAACCTGTGCTCTTTCATTTCCAGGTACTAGGAGGCCTCGTCTGGATTCTGGTTGCCGCCTCCAATGTCCCTCTCCCTCTGCTACAAGGATGGGTCATGTTCGTGTCCGTGACCGCTTTCTTCTTCTCCCTCCTCTTCCTGGGCCTCTTCCTCTCTGGCATGGTGATTCAAATTAATGCCAACTGGAACTTCCTGGTAAGAGATTCTGTTTTGTGTTTTGCAAGAAAATGTAAGAGACTTGTCAGTGTCTCCTCCTGCTCAGAGATGCCCAGCTCCATGCTCTGTTTGTTGCTTCCCATGGGCGAGAAGACCAGACCGCAGCAGGCTGTGCTGTGTGCTCACCTCCATGAACAACAGGGCCCCTGTTTGTGCAGTTCCTACACTGATGGAGCTGAGAAATCACTGTGTGACTCCCTGATGACTCAGATGACTTTTATTCAAAAACCGTTTCATTTCATACTACAAATGCATTGCATTATAATTGCTAAAAAATGGAACCACCTTTGGAAGCTGAATGTTCTCATGCATGTCTTGAAAATTTCCATTAATTTCTGCTGCAGAGATTTAAGTCTATACAGTCAGATGTTGGTATCTATAGGGCATTGGTTCTGGGATGCACTCACCTTGGCATACCCGTCTGTCAGTTCTCAGGTCCCTTCTATAAATATAGTATTTGCATATAACTGACACACATCCTACTATATACTTCAAGTCATCTGTAGGTTACTTATAATACCTAATCAACATAAATGCAATGCAAATAGTTTTTATACTGTATATGTAGAAAATAAACACAAAAATAATCTGTACAAGTTCATTGTAGACACAGTTATTTTCTGAAGTTTTCAATGCATGATTGATTGAATCCATAGATGGACATCCTGGGAAACAGAGCACAGATTGTACACTCAGAAGACAATTAGATATTTTGCTCTCGGAATTCTTTTTTTTTTTTTTTGGTACCAGAAATCGAACTCAGGTCCTTGCCCTTGCAGGGCAGGCAATGGAACCACTGAGCTAAATCCCCAGCCCTGCTCTCTGAATTCTTAAGAGAGTGTTTTATAATTTACTCCTTTCCTGAATTAGTAAGAGTTGGTGAGTTTTGAAAAGTAAAGTTACAATCAATACAATTTTTTAAACATGGTACTATGAAATTGGGTCACCTTACTCCCTGCTTTCCCATGCAGTATATGGAGTCTCTCCTACTTATATCATTGGTCCTCAGGGACTGGTTCCGAAAGGCTTCAGTGGAGCGTGAATTCCACACCACGGAGGACAGGGCCATGATGAAGTTCCCGAAGAGCCCCGTTAGGTTCTGATCACACTCTGCTGTTTTGAAACCTAAAGCAGACCTTCAGTCAGGCTTGGATATGTTCCTCTGAGTATAGCAGCGTTTTGTTCAGCTGCTGTAGAATAGGTGTCGGAGGAAAGTGTCTAGTCTTGTTTTATTTACAGAATACAAGGAGAACTTTAGTCCCAAATGTTTTCCACAGTGAAATCGAGCAAATGTGATGGCTCTTCAAGCCACCCGAGGTCAAATGGCCCTGCTTAGCGTAGATCTAAGAAGCGCTAGAGTGGCCACAGCCTTTCATAGGCTTGGGGTTCAGGTCGGGTGGCTTAAGAGCTGTATAGCCTTGGGCAAAATAGTTAACCTCTCAGAATTTTTTTTTCAAGAGATATTACTCTACTTTATTTATAATAGTAAGAAACTGGAAACAAACGTCTAATAGAAGATTGATTTTTAAAAATCACAGAATCATAAATTTTAAGCTATAAAATGGAATTGTGAGCTATCATTAAAAATATGTTGTCGAAGTATTCAATGACATGTGCAGATCTAAGTCTTGTATTATCCCGTCTTCCTAACTTCCTCTACTTCTTCACTCATTCTCAGACTAACCTTGCTTCTCATTTTATTGAGAAATCTCAGTCAAGCAGAAAACACAACTGCAGTTTACTGCCACGTGAACCCACAAGCCTGCATCTCGCCCTTTGTGCCCCTCTCCTGTCGCAAGAGCTGCAGCATCGGGGTGAAGCCCAACCCCTTCTTTCATTGTGCAGGGCACTCCATCCCTCTGTGCCATTGTTAAGGAGCTGCACATCGGCAAAGGACACCAGAAGGCACCTGAAGTGAGGAACCCTGAGAGCAACTCCAAATCACCAGTCTGGGACAGGCTGGAACAGACAACAGGCGTGACCACTCTTCATCTATACGAAAGCTTTTTTAGACTATTTTATTTCCATGACTTCTTTTCAGTATCCAAAACTTTAGTCAACAGTTCTTGTGTTTCAGCAGTCAGTGGAGCATGTGAAAACCTGCAGTGCTCTCCCTGATACCACTTTGCTCCTGTGTGATAAAACTTGCAAGGATATTCATTATGCAAGTACACACAGTTTTCACCTCTGGTACAATATCCTTGTATGTAAAACTTACACATTTCCTTTTTCTTCTCCATCTCTGCATCATGATCAAACTGCTCTCCCTTAATGCATTTCTTTTCAAGAAAGTATATGCAAACCTACTTCCCCTTGCATTCCATTGTACGCTCGCTTGTTGATGAATCCCTGACTCATTCTCACATGCTGCTGCTTCTCCTTAGGCTCACCATCCTTCAAAAACACTCTTCCTGCAGACCGCTCTTCTGCAATAAGGCGTCTGGCCCTTTGTTTCCAGCTCCAGGCCGTTTTCGTTTCTTTTTCTTTTGTTTACCATTCTTGTGACCAGGTTTAAGATTTTTATTTTTTGATTTAGCAGACAGTTGAGTATCTTCTACTCCCTCTTTTGTCACAGATTCTTTAGAAGATGGCAGGGGCTGGGCACCGTTTGCCATTTCTTTAGCTCATATGTTCTTTCTCAGAATTACTTTCTGGTTCCTGACTGCAGGTATCATTATCACCATATGACTCATAGTCTTTACTTCCTGATTTTCTATGTGGCAAACTCTTTGGCAATGTTGTAGAATTTCCAAAGTGCCTAACTTTTTTGGGAATTTGCTCACACTCCAGTTGAACTTCCCATTTTATTTTTTCTTCTTGAGCCTCTTCAACTTCTGTATCATCTACTTCATCATCGATTCTTTTGTCAGGGTTCCAGGCCGGTCTTTTGTTGAAGGCTGGGTTGGGAGATTTTGAGAAAAGATTTTCAAAATCTATGCTCCAAGCAAGTGGCCTTCCCCTCACCAGTCTGGAGCCTCAGGGTGAGGCCCCGCGCGTGCCGAGGAATCCACGTAGTACGCAGGGCTGCCCTCTTGCCACCTCTCCAAATTTTAATTGTTTCCTCTATAAAATGGTAATCATAAGACCTGTCTTACCAAAAGTCATTAAGGAATAATAGGAATGATGAATTAGCTTTGCTTTGTGCCTGAGAAACAGTAAGGAAACCGTAATCGTTCTAGATCTTTAAACACACTGAGGCTTACAGTTTGGGACTCTGAAAGCCCTTCTATTTCTATTAGGTTGCTAATATATCAGGCTGCTACATTTTTGGCCTAATTTCTCATTAATGATGAAAACAGTACATGGTCATGTGATGAAGATAGAAGGGCTCTAATTGGATTACACACAGATGTTTAATCTCTTTCTAAATGCTCGACTTTTCCACAATAAGGCATGAGAATGATTCAGTTGAACCCTAATCTTGACGAGCGAAACTGGGTTCTTTTAGTGTCAGGCCCGGAGATATCGGGCCACCTTGTACCACTGTAGCCTGCGTGTACCTCGGTGCTCTCCGGAGTCACTGCCCCAACTTCCAGCCTCTCCTGGTGTTGTGCCACAGCCAGCCTGGCCCTTCCCCTGGGCCTTCCTGGACCGCCCGATAGCCCAACCCCTAGAGGGCTAAGACCTGGACACACACACAGAATCCAGGATCCGGCAATGTCTGGGATTCTTTCTACCTGGTTTGGTGCACCCGCCTTACTAATGTGTAAATATCTTTCAGATATCATTCCTGGTCTTATTAGACATATTCCTATATCAACATTTTCCCTTTTGCTTGTATTGAGTCTTATCTTTGATATTGATTACAATCATTAATATCCTTAGTTGTTTATTAGTTTTCCTAAATTTGCATTTCCCACCCATTCATAGCATTATGTCTGATGTTTAGAAAACAAAATGTAAGATTTTTTGTTCTAATCACACCACTGTGTGACAGTTGAAATTGGAAAGACCTGCCTATCTGTCTTATCCTGTGTTTTTTGTTTTGTTATTTGCTGCTCGCATAGTCCACACTTAGGAAAAAAATGGTACAGGACACACTTAGGACCAGAGGTATTTCAGATTTTGGAATATTTGCATAGACTTTACTGTCAAGGAGTTTTGGACTTTGGAGCATTTCAGATGTTAGATTTCCAAATCAAGGCTGCTCTACCTATAGGAGCAATACATGCTACATGGTGTGGTGTCAAAGCATAGAGCTCGGGATTTGTGGGCATGCTTTTAAGGAGCCAATTCCTGCCTTTATAGAGTTTATGAAATGCTGTCCCTCTGTGGATGGCTCCATTTCACCCTTCTCTTATTATGTGATTTCCTTCATATTCATTTGTGTTTGAGCTCAGGACTAGCTTTCATTAGGTTTTGTGATATTTCTCGTATACTCTTATCCAGGAAGTTTTGTGAGCCATGCTTATCATGGAGTCATCTCCACATGGCAACAATTTTTAATTTCTGTATTCTGGAGCTAGTAAACAGTAACTGCTTAAAATTAGTTGATTTCCCCTTTGATAATAATTAATGCTACCTGTGTGCCATGCTCGAGGGAAGCAAGAATGCATTTGGATAAATAATTTACCTTCTACAAATATTTGGTGTAGGATACTAATGATAGTATTTATTTTTGTTGGTCATGCAGTTAAATTTACATACACAGTGATATATATGTTCAGTATTTCTCCACAAGCTATCTAGCTTTAGTAGAGCTGGTGAAAGAAAAATGCAGCATGTAATAAAATATATTAAATGCTAAAACCTTGCCCTATTCTAGTCTGGGGAAAAGGAGATTTTAGTCTTGAAATAGTGTGTATGTGTAGGGAAATAATATCATTTTGCCTCCTTGAAAGAAGAGATTCCATATTTATATTACCCCTTTTCCGGAGAAGATACATTAAGGAAAGATACATGTTAGAAAAATAAGTACTATTTTATTAGTGTGTGCTGTGATACGTAATGATTACATTCCTCTTGGGAAATTGGTATGCATACCTACTATGTCTCTTTTTAAAATCCTGTCCAGTTAAGCATGTTTCCCTCTATTCCTCAGAAGTCTGCCTGGTGCAGGTTGATTATTTTCCTCTTAAGGACATGCTTAGCAAGTTAGATGTCCTGAGCTGTAGTTTCTGCCTCACATCTATTTACTCATTTGGCCTTTGGGCCCTTCTTTACTGATGACAGTGTTCTCGTCTTCACTCTGAGAAAACTGGGCTCAGAGCGCCCGCATCCCTTTTCACGCGGCTGGTGTGTGGCCAGGGTCCCCTGGCTCAGTGAAAGATTGACCAGAGCAGGAGGAAGGCAGGGCCCGGGATGGGCTGTGGGAGGTGGTCGCTTGTTGCTTGAACGTCCAAGCTCTGTGACAGGCTGAGGTCGCCTATGGGAACGGCAGAAAAGACGGGGCAGCGCTCTGGGGTGCGTGATCTCAGCTCAGGAAGAGGGTAAAGGCAACTCGGAAAGGGGCTGGGTCATCTCCTGGTGAGCAGGTGCCAGGGACAGTGGTCCCTGACCACAGCATCAGCAGCAGCAGGAAACGTGTTAGAAATGCAGTCCGCAGGCTCCCCCGGCTGCTAAGAGGGCACTCAGGGTGGGGCCATCTGTGTTGGAAGGAGCTCTGTGCAGAGTCAGAGCGTCCAGCTTCACATAGGCGATGGAGGCTGAGCACACCCGAGGAGAGCTCCGAAGGCCTTGCCCACGTTGCGCACAGGAACGGGAGTGGCATCCAGGGTGGCCAGGCGTCGGTGTGGGTGTAGCTGTGCTCCCGATCCGGGATATTGCCTGAATGCCTGGCCTGGCCTGGCAGTGGCTCTGGGAAAGTGTGCTGTGGTGGACGACGGCAGTAAAGCAACTGCTGCAAAGCAACTGCTGCAAAAACAACTGCTGCAAAGTGAACACGTTCACTAACAGGAGCAGGATGGGAGAAAAGCACACGGGCTTGCTCAGTGCGAGTCTTCTCGGGCCCACGTGGAAGCAGCCTCTAAAATGGATCTCGGAGTTGTTTGGATTCGTTGCCTTTTTTGGCGGAGGGGAGGAGGCAACACCTGTAAGAGATAACGTGGAAGGAAGGAAGACAAGGCAGAAAGTCTGACTGTGACAAGGCCCTAGCCAAGTCAGGGGGAAGCTCCAAAGCAACCTGTCCTTCAAGACCAGACCGTGTGCTGGGCACGAGGGCCAGACACGCGCACCGTCCCCATCCTGCAGTGACCTGGGGCCGCCCCGGGAAGATGTGGCCTTGGCTGAAGCCTGCAGCACACCCCAAGTCCACGGGGGCCTGGGTTGCAGGTTTGCTTCTGGAGAACCAAACTGAGGCCAGAGTGGCTGAAGTCCAGAGAGGCACGAGACGGTAGTGAAATAGGAGAGGAAACAATCGCACCACGAGTTCCAGTCCTGTCCCCAAACTCCTCCTTTGAAAACAACACACCTCTTCTGAGGACTCTGAAATGAGGATCCTGAGTTAAATGAGTGCCTAAGGGTTGCAAACATACCTTCTGAGGTTTTACTAATTAATACCCTGCTCTGTTACATTTCATCCCTGAAAGCAGTGACATTGAACATGTTCCTGCCAATGGTCCGTGCTTGATTGTCCCCTCAAGCAGCTTGTGCCCCATGGTTCAGGGCCACCTGCAGCACGACACACAAATGACACCCCTGCCATGAGTGTGTTAAATCTGGATATTGACCTTCATCGATTAACTTAGCTGAATGACCACATGTATTTGAGCATCCCTCTTATGACGTGTGGCCCTTCGACAGTTTTTTTTTTAATATTTCAAAGCCATCACTGGGTCACTTTACAAATGAGAGGTGTTTAAGAGAAACATTTTTCATGTTATCCCATGTAACTCTAACCCCTGGTGAGTTAAGTCTGGCCTAGTGGTTTCTCTTGGAGTAATAAGAACAGTCCTATGGACAACGTTGCTGGCTATGTGGACATTTAGAAAGACAGCACAGTGTTCTCTTTTGTAGTATTAGGTAGATAGGGACAGTCTGACAGTGGAGAGGAAAGAGAGTGGATTTTCATGGAAACCCTCAAACACTTGTTGGGAATGTAGATTAATATAGTTATTATGGAAAACACTAAGGTTTCTCAAAAACTTAAAAATAGAACCACCATATGATCCAGCATTTCCACCACTGAGCATATATCCAAGAGCTGTCTGCACCCTCATGTTCCCTGCAGGGGGACTGACCACAGCCAAGACATGGAATCCACCTGTTTCCATCCATGGATGGATTGATAAATAAAATGTGAAACAAATATAAGCACTGTATACACAGTGGAATGCTATACAGCCTTTAAAATGAAAGAAATGCTTTTATTTGCAAAAACGTGGGTGAGTATGGAGGATATGTTAAGGGAAAGAAAGAACACAGGGACCCAGTGACAACACCAGGCAATTGCACTGACAGGGGACTCTAAAAGGTTGAACTGAGAAAAGTAGGGTCATTACTGGGGGATGTGGAGGAGGAGCAGGAGAGGTTGGGAACATGAGGGTCAAATAATACAAGATGTAAGTTCCAGAGATCTGTTGTAGCCCAGCAACTACAGGTATTGTCAGTGTATCTGTGCAAATTGCTGAACGCCACACACACATACACACACACGAGGTAAGTATGTGGGGCACTACATATGTTAGGTACTTCACATTGACTCTTCCACACTGTATCATGTTTCAGAATACACAACACATGCAATCTCTATTCATCAATGAGTTTTTTAGAAGAGAATATAAACTTTGGAACCAGGTAGGTATATGATTGAGCTGTCCCTCCCAAAGAGAATCCTCATGTGATTTGGGGATATGTAACTGAAAAGAAAGGAAATTCTGAAATGGAGGTGATATATCATGGTTCTAAAGATAAGCAGAAATGTACCTGAAAAACATAGTCTGTAGGAGCTGTAAAAATACAGGGTGTGGCTGGTATAGTAATCCAGGTAAGGCAGAGTGAATTTTAATACTTATGTTTTGTATTAATTCCAGCAATGTTCAAAATAACCTAATAAATCACTGTTTTTGTACTTTTTGTGGAAATATATATTATTTTTAGTGGGATATAGGGATATATATCTTTGAATTCTATGATTTAATAAGGCTGTTTTATCTTTCATCGGATAGGATGACCTAGTGATAAAAGTAATTGCTCAAAAATAAAACATTTAGAAAATACATATACCTGTAAAATAGGTGGTAATTTAAATGCTATTTTACTTGAATTTTTAAAACAGCATGTTATTCCTTTTTTATCCATTCACTAATATCAATCTCTATGCATCTTCATTCAAAAACTGAACCCATGCATTTTATTATAAAATTCAGTGCATCAGAAGTTTTCCCTTGTATCAAATAGAATGGGTTCATTGATTTTCAGTTGGATTCTAACAGCCTGACATTGCTAAAGCAGCCAAAATAAACAGTGAATAGACTTAAGGTTTGTAGGTTACATGTTCCAATCATCCTGAACCTAAACTTGGTCATTTAAAATAAGGAACAGGAAAAAAAAAAAATTACCATATGACTACAGACGTCTACTCTCTCCTGTCAGGATTTTGCCTACCACTTTGTGGTGTTTGTCTTCTACTTCGGAGCCTTTCTCCTGGAAGCAGCAGCCACCTCCCTACATAACCTGCAGTGCAACATCACCCTGTCGGAGCGGCCGCTCCTGAGTGACAACCAGTACCGCATAAACGTAGCGGCCACCGTAAGTACTGGGAGAGAGCGTCCCCAGATCCCTCCCTGCCCGGTGTCCTGGAAGCTTCCAGTCTGTCATCTCCTTGCTGATAGCAGTTAGCACCGAACATGCCACAGCTGTGCATCTGTGCCGACCCCAAAGAGCAAAGCCCCGTCACCACCCCAGTGCTGGGGTGACCGGATTGACACCACCCACCATGACAGGGCAACCGTAGTGCTGTTCAACCTTGTACAACAAAGTCTACTTTGGAGAAAACATTAACTGTACAGTTGGCATCTATGAATGTTCAGACATAGTAGAAATTTGTTCCCAGCTTTGCTCTTTAATATTCTATACCTATTTTTGATTCCTTTTAACTGAATAAATATTTACCCCATGCATGCCATTTGGCAGGTAATTTGCTGAGGGCTGGGGTTCAGGTGTGTCTTAGTCACTTTCTAGTTGCTGGGACACAAAATACGCAATACTCACAACTTAAAGGAGGGAGGTTTTCTTGGGCTCATGGTTTTAGAGGATTCGGTCCATCATCAGCTGGCTCCAAGGCAGGAAAGGGCATGGCTGAAGGGCCTGGTGGAGGAAAGCTGTGTTCAACCCCTGGCAGCCCGGAAGGAGGGAGAGGGAGGGAGAGAGGAGAGAGGAGAGAGGAGCGAGCAGGTACCAGAATGCACCCTTCCAGGCCACGCCCCCAGTGACCACCTCTGAGCGGCCCCACACCCTGACAGCAGTCAGCCCTGGCACCACCAGGCCCCCATCCCCTCCCACACAGGAGGCTTTTGAAGGGCGTTTCGAATCTACCCTACAATAGGGCGGATAAGCTCAGTCCTACCACCGAGTTAGGTACTGGTGAGCCCACAGGCAGATCTGCAGCCATTGCCTCGGAGGTGTGCAGGTGACTGCGTTCTTTTTCTGTGAGGAACCTTCAAAAATGTTTATCCTCTTTAATTCATGCACCAGAATGAATCCGTCACTCTGTATTGACTTAGGTAATTTCCTAAGAGTCACACACACACAGTGTTTTTATAGAACTGTCGCAGGTCACAAAGACTCTCTGAAATGCCTTGATATTTAATAGACTGTATAGCAACGTGCTGACCCTGATATCTCACTGTGTTGCCCAAGTACCCCATAAATAGCCTCGTGCTCCCCATGTTGTCACCCAAATGTGTCTGGACCTGTCCTGGCCCAGCGCCATCCTACAGTATGGCGGCCTCTGGCCCTGTGCTGTGCCACTGGCCACCCAGTCCAGCAGCTGGAATCAGCTGGTATGAATGAACCCCTGCTGTTTTAGTGTGAGTTGAAAATGTAGAGTTTAGGGTGTTTCTTTCATTAAAAAATGAAATCTTACTTAAAACCCAGTAAATGTAGAAGATGGAAGTGTGCATCCCCCGGTTGAAGGCAGAGATGGGCTTTGATTGCCACCTCTCCTCTGCTGTCATAAAGCCACCTGTATGAACCTCATCGTCCCTGTGAGTGGAATTAAATTCTTGGAGTCCTTGTGATCCAAAGATCACAATTAGAAAACTACTGGTTTTAACAGTTTTACAAAGTAAAGAACAGGGACTTGGAGTTGATTTTTTCTGCCTATTAGTCATCGATTCCCACTGGACTTTCCTCTCTTTCTCTCAGCCCCTCTTTTTCCATGGTGCTGGCTGCATTTTTACCACCTCTCTTGGATCTCTGAGGAGCCCCATCCTAAGTTCTGACTTTCACAGGAATGGCGGGTGACCGCGTATGTGAAGATGTGCTGGTGCCTTTAATTTCCCACCAGCACACCCTCTCCCTAAGAGCCCGGTTTTCAGAGTTCTCCCTGGTGCAATTCTGTTCTGGCTGTGCCTCTGCTGTGACCTTGTCCCTCCTGTCCTTCCCTTTCTCTCTCTGCCTGGTAAAGCTCTCCGTGCGTTACCTTCTGCATTAGGTGCCAATCACCCACATACTTGTCTAGACAGAGCTCTAGTTTCTGAGTTTTCAGAGCTCTAAAATGTATCAGCCATTCATTGATGGCATTATACTGATCCCTTCACTTTTCTTTTTCTCTCAGTATACCTGAGAAAGAGGAGGATTCCATTTCACTAGTAATAGAAATCAAAAGCAATCTTATTCAGAGGACAATCTCTAAATTAGAAATATATCCGAAATGATTAGAAATGTATCAGAGAACTGGCATGAGGGTACGGAGAATAATAGACTGGTAATTAAACTGTGGAAATGTGCTCTAAATGAATCAGATTCTTTCCCGAGCTGTAGTTGCCTGATGAAGAATCCCTGCACCAAGACTTGGGGTATAATTCAGAATAGAGCATTTGCCTAGCGTGCCTAGGCTCAGGGTTTGAGCCTAGCACTGGGGGAGAGCAAGGGAGGGGAAGGGAGACGGAGAGGTGGAAACAGAGAGAAAGAGAGGAAAATGAGAATCGTAAACCCCAAACTGTGAAGACATTATCTACCATGCGCTTCTCTGCACCAAACTCAGAGATGAACATAGAAGTTGGTGCTAAAGAAACCCTCACTGAACCTAAGGAGAGTCATTTAAAACAGAATGCAGATTAGCAAATGAGGACTGCTTCCCTACGAGAAAGAGCCACTGTGACAACTATCTGTGTTGTGAGTCATAGAAATGATTTGATACATCCTCAGGTTTTGATAGTTACTGTCTTTGCTGGCTTTAAAACTACTATCTGAAAAGATAACTCACACTAAAATTTTTAATACAGTGCCTGAGGTTTCATAAATTCTTAATAAGTGAACCCAATATGTAAGTGGATGTTCAACATAAGACTGTTCACAGATGAAAACACTTTTAGGGTCTGGAATGTTTAAAGGAAGAGATAATAGTGGAAAGGGATAAAACAGTGTGTAAGCCATCAAAGAAGAGATCAATGTAAAATACTTCTGTAAGTGTTAGAGTATCTTGGGCTAGGGTGATCAGTGTTCATACAGTTGTCGCTTAGAAACACGTTTTCTTAAAGTCAGTGTTATGGATCCGATGTCAGTTCTTTTTTCTTTCCTCTTAGGTTTTTGCCTTTATGACGACAGCTTGCTATGGTTGCAGCTTGGGTCTGGCCTTACGGAGATGGCGGCCGTAACACTCCCGGGACTGACGAGGCTGTGTTAGTTCCCTTTGTCTCCTCTCTGTGTCCGATCACCCTGGATAGCACTTTGTCTGAATGTAACAACATTCCCAAAGAAATCTGTTTAGTATGGAGAGAAAAATCCAAGTGCCAGTTTTTGTTTATTTCATGAGTGGAATTTTAATTTTATTATGATGTTAAATAGAGAAGTATCCTTTCATTGTTTTATCTATTTTTTTTTTGAGAAAATCTTTCATTAAGTCCATAAAATACACAGATACTGTTCATGTAAAAGTACTGTTCCTTTATGTGGTCACAAAGTCACCTGACCCTTAGTAGGAAATTAGAATTCCCTGAAAGCTGCACGTTTCATGGAATTCCAGCCTTTGTTGTAAAACAGGAATTGGGGCACTTTTTCTGCTAGAGTGCCAGGTGGTGCGTATCTGGGCTTCGGGGCTCACACCATCTCGGCCCCAGCTCTTCAGTGCTGCTGCTGCTGCAACACAAACGCAGCTATGAATGACACCTAAATAAACAGATACATCAGTGTTCTAAGAAAGCTTTATTTACAAACACGAGGCAGGCTGGATTTGGCCCGCAGGTTAGGGTGTGTTAGCCTCCACTGTAAAACCTTAGTTACGTGCTCCATATTTTATTGAATGACCTTGAAAGTTTGTGAGCCCAATTAGACAAGGCACAAGTTTAGTCTCATGCACTAATCACAGTGCCTTTTGCTAAGGGTCAAATATCCTTGGGAGGGCATATAATTACTCAAGCTAATTCCGGCAGTCTTGGGTACAGGCAAAACTAGTTTACGAAGTGAACCCACGTTGTCTGATCAAACTAATGATCTCCTAACAGCTGAGCAGCGCTGTCCTCTGAGAGTTCTTGAAGCAGAATCTCCCTTGACCATTTATCACTACTGGAGCTGCTGTCCCGCCACTTACGTCTTAGTTTGGTTTATTTATGCTTAGAAAACAGTTGTTTGCCCTGTGCATGAATATATACATATTTATGTATGTGACGTTTTTCCAAATAGAGCTCTCTGGAGAGTTAACTTTTTAGTTCTGATTATTTGACATTATCTTCTGAGTTAAATTCAAATCGACTATGGAATATAACATAAAGCTGTAGATTCTTACATGTTTTGATATGCTAAACACCCAGATATCGCTCTTGTTTTTTGTGTTGGGGATAGACTAATCGGTTTTTAAACAATAGCATAAAAACAGTCTCTGGATAAGGGGGAATGATTTTTGCCCATCGGTAGAGACTCTGGTCTAGAAAGGCTCAAAAGGCAGACTTCGTGTTAGATCATAGCTGTGACCCTAACTCTCCACGCGAGGTCCTCACCTGTCCCCACAAAGGGGCCACCTCGGAAGAGAGGGCTGCTGAGCGGTGTTCTTCTGGCCCTCTGCCTTCAGGCTGTTCAGCCTCCTGAGTGTGCCGTGCAGAGGGGCTGTTGGACTTCGTGGGACAGAGAACGAGCACAAATGGCAGTATGGCCAGTGCCCACCGATCTTATGCCGTTTGCCTCATATTGCCCTCGAATGAAGAATCTGGGTTTGTGATAGAACTAACTATAAAGACCAGAGACATGTTTTCATCTGTGGTGTGAGGAAACCAGTCTTACGACTTTATAATCATGTCATATCTTTTCTATAAAGCTGACTTCCTTGATTTTTCTAGTTCCATACTGCATACCTAAGCCTGTATTAATAATTATATATTACAAAGTCATAAATGTGCCATAAAGATATGTTGTGCATTCTACTTGGAATCATTTAAAGGTAGGCTGCTAGAACTTAGTTGTGAGATTTTTTTTTCCTAAGATGTTATAGGCCATGCTTGGTGGCATTAAATTAAATGATTTTATTAAAATGTACTGGTGGAGGGCCGGGGATTTAGCTCAGTGGTTCCGGCACCTGCCTCGCAAGATCAAGGTCCTGAGTTCGATCCCCAGTACCAAAAAAAAAAAATGTATTTGGTGGCACTTTTGTAAATGGGCTACTTTTAGATTAAGAACCAAACCTAAAACTCTCCTAACTGTGAATACTTAGTTTATCGATAAATTGCATTCTAGATTTGTGAGTAACAAAGCACTTGAACAAAATTATGGTATTTAAGAATTTATTTACATTTCTTCACTGTAAAAATGAAAAAGTATTGGTTGGTCTTAAAATCTGGTACCTTCATGATGAAAAGAAATTTATTTTATAAGTGTTATGACTCTAATAAAGTATTCATTTGATAATCCTTTTGGTCATCTATTTTTTATGCCATTCACTTTGAAATTCAGCTAGCAGTTTGATATAAAATTGACAGAGCTTCTAGACTCATAAAAGAGTTCTGTTTCAACCGTGTCTGTGGAAAGAGACTCTCAAAAACTGCCAGTAAATCTCTTTCCTATTGGTGCAGATGATGAGGTAAGTTTTTGGAAGTAACTTTTTAAAGGAAGTTCAAATGAGAAGTATACTCTATTTTATTTTGACAAGCACTTGTATGGTATTTCATACCTGCCAGGAAATATTCTAAGTATTTAAAAAATACATATTAGCTCACTTTCCATCCTAGCAACCCAAAGAGGAACATACTGTTTCGTCTTAGAGATCAGGAGACCAAAACGCTCCTTACACGCCCGGCTGCCATCTGTCTGCCCAGGGAGGGGCTGGGACCCAAACCCCTGCAGGTGGACTCCAGCATCCAGGCTCAGTTTCTATGTTTGCCTCAGTTCCCCTGAATTTTACACTTTATCCAAACATTGCCCTTTTTCCCCCCAAAGAAGACTTTTAGCAGAATGTTTACAAGGTGATTGTTTAGTGCTCAGCTTTTGGAACGTTTTTGTCCTAACCACAGATCGTGATTTTAGCTCTTAAGAACTTGGGCCAAGCCTGCGTGATAGGGAGAGGCAGGGCACCTCTTGTCTGCCACGGTCCCTGAGGCTCGAGCTCCAAGCTGCTCCCCAGATGGACAGGGGCTTCGGACTGTTCCACTACCTGCCATCTTGTCAGCCTTTCTCTGCAGTGTCCTGGCTTCCTAGGCATGCACAGAACTGACGTCAGAGCACTCTCTAGTCTGAGAGCCAGTCAGACCTCATGCATGGGCTATGGATTTCCACCTCTCCACATCCCAGAATCCAGAGTTGTAGGTCATGTCAGAAAACTTCTCTCCTTAACTCGTGCTTTCATATCTTTCCTCTCTGAACCCCTGGCTTGTGTGGCAAGGTAATCCTCTGCTTGTGGAAGGGAGGAGCGGAGTCTGGGGAGGGGCGAGCACCTTCAGAATACATGTACTGGGTGATGCTCTCCAAGTCTGGCTGCTTAAGCTTCTGTGAGGCTGCACCCCTCGGAAATGGTCAGATGATGAGTTTCTCTCCAGTGCCTGCTGCCTCAGCCTCCCTGCACCTTGGCCGTAACCACTGCAGTGAACCTGTGAACCACGTTCAACCCTGAATCTCACACTTGCAGTCTCTGCTCTCTCTTCCTGCATTCTCTTCCAAAGCACTTATGACCCATAATTATGTACAGTGTATGTACAGTATACGCAAAGAGAGGCTGAAAGATGTGGTGAGTATTTAAGCAATAATATGTTGCAGTAAAAGACACATTGCCAATGATGAGGTATGTTCGAAGTGAAGTATGCCGAGGGGGTGGTTAATGGCAATGTCTTTTACTGTAATAATTTTTTTCATTTAAAAATTCACAGTATTTTTATGATCACACCTCATTGATCAACTGTTTACAGCAATTCCGGTCACAAAAAAACATCACCCTGTGTCCTCATCCATCTTATTCACAGGCTCTGGCACCATGTGACTTCCGGGTCTTCCCCAAGTCAAAACGACCACGAAAAGGAAACGTTTTAGATCCATTCAGGACATGGAGGCAGCTGGGGAAGCGCAGCTAAAGACACTCACAAAACAGGACTTCCAGAATGGCTTCAGAAAATGGCAAGCACATGGGATAAGTGTGTTGGCAGCAAGAGGTAGTATTTTGAGGGGAATTAATGGCAATGCGTCTTTCCTGTAGTAAAATCTTAGGACATTCTACTGTATTTTCTGTGTACACCTCCTATACTTTCAGTATGGATTAGGAAAGTGTAACACACCCAAAGACATGGCTTCCTGGATATATTCAGTATGATGCTAAGTAAGCATTTCAGCCAGGGAAAGTATTTCTCTCACAGCTGTGTGACGGGAGGGAAGTCATCTAGTTAACCTGCCTGTATTCTCGGGTGTCCATGGTGACCACACAAGCCCAAGGAGTAGGTCCTTCAGGAAGAAGAGGCCAAGGTGGAGTGAGACACACAAGATGTCTGCAAGAGCCATGCATGGGAGAGGCAGCAAGAGGAGCCTGGAGTAGGGGAGAGAAGATGGGACATGCCAGCAGCTCCTGTCTCTGTCTCTCTTTCCAGCCCTGAGAATTCTTCCTTTGGAGGAAACATTGGCCCGCAGAGTCTGAGCTCCAGTGTGCATGGCATCGGGGAGAAGGTGAGCCAGGCTCCAGAGTGGTCCCTCTGCTGGGGCCAAGACAGTGCTGTCAGCTCCTCCACACTCTTCTTGGGCAGCTGCTTTTGCATGGTCCGTGTGACAGAACCAGCGGTCACAGCTGTGGGGACAGCTCTGCAACCAGACGCGGAGTATAAAAACATTTATAGGTCAAAAACTAAAAATTGGCAAAGGACTCACAGGCTTATTTCTCCAAAGGAAATATAGAAATGGCCACAGCACATGACCAGATGCCCAGCATCCTTAGCCATCAGGGAAATCCACGTGAAAACCACAGTGAAACAGCACTTCCTACCGAGTAGGATGGATGGCTATGACATTTTGGGGGAAAATAGCTAAATTCAGTGTAAAATGGGGAGCCTGCTATAGAAAATAGTTTGGCAACCCCTGGAAAGAGTTTGGCTGGTAAAGAGAGTCCCAAATGCATTTTGTAGATGGGTGTTCATTCAAATGTGCCCACCTGTCTCAGCAGGGCCCTGAATGCAGCGTTACAGGTTTGCTGCGGCAGAACATTGGGATATCTTAGAAGTTCAGGGACGCTCGGGAGACCTGCCTGGTCTCCAGGTGCTCTTTGGCTGTGTCGCTGTTGGACTACAGAAAAAACATCTTCATAGATACCAGGCAGCTTGGGTTGCTGATTAACAGCCCCGTTTCTCACTGTCTTTCGGTAGGGCACCGATAAAACTCCCAACTGCTTTTGCTGCCTGGTTATCCTTTCATGTGTTCCCTCTGTATTTCAAAAGTCTCTGTCATCACATGTGCCAGAGTATTCACCTCTGCATTAACATTTTCCTGTTAGAGTGATCATATTTACCCAGTCAGATATTTGTACTTTTTAAAACTTTAATTGGTTCATTTGGCTATTGCAAAACTTAATCAATTTGTTTACTAGTAACCCAAAAGCTACCCTTGTAAAATTTTGTAAGGTTCCAATAACTAATCATGGCAATGTTTTTAGTCCAAAGAGATTTGACTTCAAAATATAGAAAAGGAACCAAGACACCTTGCTAGAACAGAGTAGAAGAGTCATGGGAGGAACTCCCTCGGGTTAAAGCAGATCTTCTTCAAGCTAGAGCGTGACGTTTGAGACCATTCAGCCTTGAGTATATTTACAGTATTTGGTCAGTTTATGCTTTAATGGTGAGCATTCTATCTTGACATATCACAAAAGTCCTACTCCTTCCTTCTTTTAAACTCTCTACCTTTGACTATATTGGACATTCAGGAAAATTGGACGCGGCGCGGGTCTTTAAATTGCTGAAACCTTTACAGCTAGGTAATGTGGAGGAGTGGAAATAAGTTGTTACAGTATCAAGTGTGCTTGCTCCCTTTTTAAAAGCTGCATAGTTTAATCATTTCTTTTTAATTTTCTTATTTGTGTCTAATGGAAAAAATAAGACTATGAGCTAGGAGATCTTGCGTTCATCCACTTATTCATCAAATACTTACTGATTTTGTACGTCTTATGTGTTCTAGATGCTCCAGAGACAGACAGAAATGAAAACTATACTCCTGTCCTACAGGTCTTCCACTCTGGTGTAAAGAGAGACAAAAAACAAGCGCAAATAACACTCATCCCTCTGTACCCTGGGTGCCGCATCTGGGGGTTCAACCAACCACAGATGGAAATATTAGGGAAAATAAATCACATCTGTGCCCAGCATTTACAGACTGTTTCTTGTCTTTATCACCTAAATAAACAATATAAAACTTCTTGAATAGCATGTATATTCTATTAGGCATTATAAATAATCTATCATAAAGTATACGGGATCGTGTGCATAGGTTATATGCAGATGCTGTGGCATTTTCATAAGAGGCTTGAGCAGCCACGGGTTTTGGTTTCATGGAACATCCTGGGTACAGAGGGTGACTGTACATGCACGAAAAGTTAGGAACTCACGAGGGCCGAGGGAAAAGCACAGCAGAGGGGAAGAAGGGTT